TTCCTATCTGATACCGCTGATGCTGTCCTCAGCAGAGTAGGGGACAGACACTCGAGAGCCTTGTTTTTAAAAGCTCCTGTTAACTTCTGTGTTGAGTCATGCGGGTGCAAAGAGGTGTCATTTTAGCAGCTTCTCTTTCTTGGCAGTGACCTTGAGACCTAAAAATGGGCCACCGGATGCTCAAGAGGAGTCACTGAGAAAATACCTAGTCCATCCCAAGCCCTTGGGCAGCTCAGACCATCATGTATTCATTCCACAAGGATTTCTCCAGCAGTACCTTGGACCCGGGACCATGCTGGGTACTGAGTAGCCAAAGTGGACCCGGACAGACAGGTCCTTTCCTCCAGGAAGTTGTCTCAGGAGTGGGAAGGGGAGAAGGGGTTTTCAATATTTTATGAAGAGCTTCACTGGGTTGTAGTAAGTGCTGAGTCCAGCTGAGTTGGTAGTAAGTGCTACAGACCAGCTATGACAGCTGTCCTTTCTCTGTCCCCCAGCATGGGGTCCAGCAAATCTCACGCTTCAAACTGGCTAGTCCTGTTCCTCCCGCCCCTCCGTCTTAGCCCTTGACCAGAAGAAGTCCAGGACCAGAGCCCAATGCCCAAAATATTTGATAAATACATCTTGGCTGCCTGGATGCAGATTCACAAAGTTTTCACCAAAGTAGGACAAAAGTTGAAATCAGCAGCCCATACGATTACCATCTTTGGGAAGGGTCCAGGAGGGCACTAGGCTTGCAGCATTGCCGGAGTATAAGCCACAAAACACACACGCATATTTTGAGAGTTTGAAATAGGGTTAACACGGAGGCCTGTTCGGTGTTAAACTTGGACACTGAACTGCCTGGGGTTTCACAGAAGCAGGAAACCTGTTCAGTTTGTGTGTTTTTTCCCAGCCTGCGCAGCTGGGCATACATAACTATTCTGAAAGACGATCTTGGTTTTCAAATAGATCGATCACATCCGAGATAACCACAAAAAGAGAGCTCTACAGATAGACAGGTTGGGTCCTAATGACCTACAAATGGGTCTGCCCACAGCTGGTGTCCGATGCCCCTGTCCTCCGAGGCCCCAGAGCACCTGTTTCAAATGCCCTCCCAGTCCCGACCCCACAGTGTGCCCTGTATACAGCTTCCAGAGTTTGTAGGAGGCAAGAAAGCCCCTGAGACCAACCAGGCTGTGACCCCATTCCCTGCCCTCACTCCTCCAAATCACTCAAATGAGTATTTGAGCTGTTCCTGAACCTTGACCTCTGTGTACCTTTTTCAATCCATCAAGGGTTTCCTGATGCTTTTGGAGCGTTTGTGATGATTAATTAGTACGCAGGTATTTATAAAGTGCTAAGTGAGTGGTGCGGTTTATGAGTCAACATTATCTCTGACAGCCTCCCTAATTCCTTCCCAGCATCTCAGGCTTCAGGGACCACCCAGTTCTGCGAGGCTCTGGAGTGCCCCTCCTTGTCCACTCCATACTGGCCCCCAAAACCCAAAAGATCCTCCCAACCCTTTCCCATTTCTCCCCCACTCTTCTTCAAAGTGCTGTTGTTTTTCTTAATATTACTGGGCCCCTCCCCGAAAGATAGTTACACAAGTCTCTGTGGGAGGAAGAAGAGAAACATAAGTCAATGGTGACTAAGTCTGCCTCACTCCTTTGCCGCTGGAATATTGTCAGAGTTGGCTCTGGCTCACCATGCCTCTGTAAAAATCCTTTGCGGAGGGTGTGATTTTTCCTGAAGATCATTCTTTCCACATGACCAAATGCTGTAATGTGTAACCAGTCCAGATCGTTTCTTTCTGCCCAAATCCATGCTTGGGGCACAGTATTCAGGGTCATTCAGAAACGATTCCCCCTGGGGCGCCTGGGTGGCTCAGCGGGTTAAAGCCTCTGTCTTGGGCTCAGGTCATGATCTCAAGGTCCTGGGATCGAGCCCGGCATGGGGCTCTCTGCTCAGCAGGGAGGCTGCTTCCCCCTGTCTCTCTGCCTGCCTCTCTGCCTACTTGTGATCTCTGTCTGTCAAATAAATAAATAAAATCTTAAAAAAAAAAAAAGAAATGTTAAGTGTTCCTCTTGGGGAAAAAAAAAAAAAGAAAGAAAGAAAGAAAGAAAGAAAGAAAGAAAGAAAGAAAGAAA